CAGCGAACTGAAGGGTCCCAGGTTTGATTCCAGTCAAGGGAACATACCTCGGTTGCAGGCTCCTCCCAGGCCTGGGCCCTGGTCCCTGTGTTTCTCTCACATCGTTATTTCTCTCTGTCTTTCCCTCTCTTCCACTCTCTCTAAAAATCAATGGAAAAATATCCTCGGGTGAGGATTAAAAAAAAAAAAAGACAAGATAAGCCACAGATTGGGAAAAAATATTTTTGCAGATTACATATTTGATAAAGGACTAGTATCCAGAATATACAAAAAAAAACTCTTACAATTCAGTAACAAGAAGGTAAACAACTAATTTAAAAGCGGACTAAAGGTATAAATAAGCATTTCATCAATGAATATACATATATGAGTGGCTAGTAAGCTCGCCAAAAAATTGTCTGTATCCTTAATCATTCAGGAACTGCATATTAAAACTACAATGTGGTATCATATCATACAGACTAGAATGGCTATAACTAAGAAGACAGAAAATCACAAATGTTGTACAGGATGTGGAGAAACAGTAAACCTCACACGGTGCTGGTGGGGATGGAAAATGGTGCATATGCTTTAGAAAAAATGTTTGACAGTTTCTTAAAAGTTAAACATAAATTTCCCATATGACCCAGCATGTCCAGACCCATGCATCTAACCAAGATAAATGACAAATATGTCCACACTAACATTTGCACACAAGTGTTCATAGTCACATTATTCATTATAGCCTAAAAGTAGACATAGTACAACACTAATAAACCTCAAAAAAGTGAAAGAAGCCAGACACAAAAGACTACATATTGAATAAGTCCATTTAAATGAAATGTCCTAAAAAGGCAAATCTACAGAAAAAGACAGTAAATTAGTTGCCTGAGGCTGAAGGGTAGAACAAGGATTAAGTGTAAATGGTAGAACAAGGATTAAATGTAAATTAAGTATGAGAGATCTCACTTGAGTGATGAAAATGTTCCAAAGTGATTACTGTAATGTTACACAAGTTAATAAATCTACCAAAAAAAATTGAGTTGTACATTGAAAATGGATACATTTCATAATATGTAGGCCATCCCGTAAAGTAAAAGGCTAATATGCAAATTTTCCCCATTGGTGGGAGTTTGACCAGCCAGGAGTTAGATGTGTGCTGACCACCAGGGGGCGGCACGGAATGTGGTGGGCGTTGGCAATGCAGCGCTGGCAATGGGTGGCAGTGGAGGCACTGCTGGCCCCGATGGGCCCTGATGAGAGCAGGACCGAGGCCAAGGCAGGTGCAAGTGGGGGCTCCAATCACCCTGCCGGTTGCCCCACAGACGGTGATCAGTGGCGGTGGCAGGCGGCGGGGCTAGCAAGCGGGCAGTGCCAGGCAAAGGTGGGTGCAAGTGGGGGCCCCAATCACCCTGCAGGTCACCCCAAAGATTGGCCCTGATCACTGGCCAGACCTAGGTATCCTACCCGTACACGAATTTTGTGCACCGGGCCTCTAGTACCTTAATAAAGTTGTTAAAAGTCAGTAGCAAACAAAGGAAATGCAATGATAGAAGATTGTAAGGTTAAACTCTCAAACTCAACTTCAAATGTTTTCTATTTTTTATTAAGCCTAAAAAAAGAGGAGAATAGTGTTCTAACTGCAAAAATATATATAATTGTTATAATAATGGAGAATGTCTTTTCTGGAATATTAAAATGATCCATTAGTAGAAAATAAATAAGTTCAAATTAATCTAGCCATGATCAGAGGGAAAGCTAGTTTTCTTCTAAAAGTTTTCTTTGTAGCAGACATCCCATCTCAATGAAAACGTACCCTATCTCAATAAGAATTAGTCTTGAACCTCATATCCTGAAGTCAGATATTGGGGCAGTTGTCATTGATATTTTCCCTAAAGATCTTTCAAAACAGAAGCAAAAGAAGGGAAGAAAGTGGGGAAAAGCAAGGAAGGTTGGGAGGGAAAAAGAAAAGCAAGCAAGCTAGACGAGGAGACAAAGCATTTGAGATTTGAAGAAACGCAACCCAATCTCCCAAGTTGGAAAAATTTCACACAGTTGGTGAACCAAGTTTCCATAGCTGCCAACTCTTGGGACCAATTTTCAGAAAGAAGAGCCCATTGCTACTCCACTCCTTCAGTATGCGTGCTCCCTCACACTCTATTCCCGAATAATTACAAGCATACAAGTTATACCACAGACTGCAAGCAAAACCCCAGCTGCCTCCTGAAGCTGATTAACTCAGGAAGCCCACCAAAGTGACCAAGTGCCTTCCCCTCTGACCACCAGGGAATATGCAAACCACTGCCTATTATGGAAGTCCCCAATCCTGAGGATAGTACAGACTTTCTTTTGCCTCCAGTGCCCAAACCCCAAGTCAGAGCATTCTTCACAGGCTCCTGTGATCTTTTAACACTCCTGTTTCTTTCTTTCCTCTCAGCTAAGCAATAGCTAGCTGATCATTACACAGACAAGACTCTTCTAAAGAATAAATATGAATTCTGAGATTTCAGAACATGAGTCTGCAAAACTAAGACCTGTGGCTGTTTCTCTCCAGGGTTAGCCCTGGGATAATAACTAAGGTGTGTCTGTGCTGAACTTTTGGTCAACTTCTATGACAGATCCTAATCAATGCTATTTCCTATTTCATTCTGCTGGAAGATTTCAAGCCAGGCAGGAATGGTAGTGGGGAGACGAGGAAGTCTGGTTCTTTTTTAAGAACTGGGATCTTTTCTTTGGTTGACTGGAGAGTAGGGTGTGAGAAATGTACCTCCTGCTGACACAAAGAAGGGGTTCTGGTAACTGTTTATTTTACCCAGAAAAACTCTGAATGTCTATCAGACAAAAGGTAGCTTGTTCCTTTGCAGACTCGGTGATACTGTGGAATTGGCTGAGGTGGTTCCAAAAGGTGTTTGGCCAGTGCAAATGTATGAGCTTGGAGAAGGGCTTGCCAAATCCTGTTAAGGTTTATAGAAGTCAAGAAGCCATGGCATTCCAGCTCTGGTCATATTTCTCAAGTCCGGCTTAAATTTTGCGCTTGCAGTTGACTGGCTTTTTTGTATTTTGATTTTCATTAACACAGAAGGCTTGCTGTTGGCAATAATGTCTTGGAACGTCCTTGCTGGAGCTTAACATTTCAGCACATTTTGCATTGCCTAATGATGGAGTTGCGGTTTGCCAGGAAGGACTGTTAACGCTTTCCTCCTAGAACTGGGTAGAACTATCCCCATGCAAACCTCAGCTAGTTCAAACAAAGCTTCTGTAATGGCAACAGGAGAGAAAAGCTGCTATAAATACTTTTATAGGCTGCATAGGTGATTTACAACCCGCTTTATTAATCCTATAAAAAGGCACAGCTGAACGCCTTTAAGTTACATGCATACAGATGACTAATTAAATACACAGTTAAAAGTCTTGACCCAGCACAATTCTGACCATTAAAGAAACAAGTTTTGAATTTCCCTCTGGGCAAAAGGTTTTGGATAGATTTGTGGGTGGAAGAGGGTGGGAGGGAGGAAGAGAAGGTTGACATGGTAGAGGATGGCAGGTGAGAGAGCAAAGGGGAAAACTGAGTTTCTGCTGGTTCATGTTTACACTTCACTACAGTTATGATGACACCGCAGCCATATGATTGCCCAACACTGCCCAAGGCCTCCTATTCTGACCTCTGACAATGACTGGGCCACACTTAGCTTGAGCGGGGATAAATTAAAGTGGTTTTTTTATTGATTGATTTGAGAGAGAGAGAAAGAGACAGAGACAGAGAGACAGAGAGGGGGAAAGAAATACCAATTTGTTGTTCCATTTATTTATGCATTCATTGGTTGCTTCTGGTATGTGGCCTGACTGGGGATTGAACCCACAACCTTGTCATATAAGGATGACACTCTAATCAACGGAGCTACCCAGCCAGGGCCTGAGTGGGGATAAATTAAAATGGCTTTGGGTACATAAAGAATAATAGATTCCTAACAGTCAGTTTGGGAGGCATCTTAGCAGCCTTACTTATCCCAGTTGGTTTACACATTTAGATATTGAGATTCAGGGATGAGAGGCAATTTTGGTTTTGGTCACAGGACTAGTTAACAACAAAACCAGGACAAGAACCCAGACGCAACCTCTAGAACATTAACCTTTCTGAGACACCATTCCCTCCTCAGGCTGTGTTGCCAGGAGACACAACATATTTTGATGGGGGTAAAGGGGATTAGTGGAAGGCAAGTCAGGTAGCATATGATTCCAAAACTATAAACGTTTGCCAAACCATTTATCAGAAATATAAAGGCCCTTTTAGTTTTTAAGGTTCTCGGAAGGGATTGGAAGAGGAGGGAGTGGCTTTTCCCAACAGGGGACAAGCCCCAACAATTCCTCCATCAGCTCAGTGGGATGTTCTTTGTTGGTTGGCCCCCTCGCAAAGTCTGGCTCTGTACAAAACATTTTTAGAAGCTCCCAGATCAGGCTGTGAAAGTGATGTGAGTACAACGGGCCAATGGGTCAGGAAGATTGGACAACATGTCTGATGGGCCACCTGGAGAAGCTCATATTATTCCTCCTGCAGTTAGCTCTTGAGGTAACCCACCAAGGTCAAGGTCACTTCCACACCTACAGGCTGCTCACATAGAGACTGTAGCCGAGAACTCTTTTTGCCCCACAGGCATAGCTCTGTTTTGCTTGGTTTCCTTATGACTCTAGTCTAGGGCCTTTTCCTGAACTCCAAAAGTTCTCTTCCCTCTTTATATGTGAAGCACAGACCCTGGCTATTGCCTCTATCAAGAAACAACACTCACACCGTTTTTCATTGACCTTCCACCCCTTTCACCAGCTAATTCCTATCCATCATTCAAGTTTCTGTTCAGATGTCACTTCCAAGTAAGAGATCCTAAGAGTAGATGCAGGGCTCACTCACCTGCTCCTACAAGAAAATTATATATATATAATCACTTATCATACACTTATAATTGTCTAGGTTCTAGTTGTTTTTTTCCACTAGACTGTAGGTTCCATGAGGGTAGGGACCATGTTACCTTAATGACCATTGTATCTCTGGCATCCATCATGGTTCTTGGCATATAGAGTGATGCTGATGAAACACTAAACTTCTTAAATGGCCAAATGTTCCTCCTTCTTCCACACGATCTCCTCAATGCTTTCCATATCTGCAAATAAGTTCATAGAATATAAGTTTTCCCATTAAAATAAAAAAAAATATTTTGCTGTAGGTGCAGGGATACAGATGAAAAATACTGAATGTAGGGATTAGATTAGTTTTCTAGGGCTGCTGTAATAAAGTACCAGTGACTTGGTGTCTTAAACAGCAGAAATTTGTTGTCTCACTGTTCTGGAGGCTCGAAGGCCACCATCAAAGTATCAACACGATTGGTTCCTTCTGAGGACTATGAGGGAAGGATCTGCTCTAGGCCTCTCTCCTTGGCTTGCAGATGGCTGTCTTCATGTTCACATGGCACTCTCTCTGTATGCTTGTTTGTCTCCAAATGTCCCCTTTTTGTAGGGACACCAGTCATACTGGATTAGGGCCTTCCCTACTGACTTTGTTTTAACTTGATGACCTCTATAAAGATTCTGATTCCAAATAAGGTCACATTCTGAGGTACTGGGAGTTAGGACTTCAACAAATCAATTTTGGGGGACACATTTCAACCATAACAGGGACAGTGGAAGACACTGCAACTCTAATTGGCCACTTGAAAGCCTAAAATCAAAACAAAGTAAAAAGTCTCTCAACTTTCTCTGCGGGCTGGATATGGTCACTTCTTGAAGGGCCTGGAAAGCCAGGCTGGGTAGCATATTCTGAGGATATAATCCTCTCCAAATTGGGAGGCTGAGAATTTTTAAGACCCTCCACCAGAGTGTTTGAAGCGCTTGGCTAAAGGAACCCCTGGATCACCTGTCACAGTCAAAGAACTTCACCTTTGTCCCCTCACAATCATTCCTGTGATCCTGATGGGAGGCAAAGGGAAACTGAGTTTCCCAAGGGAGTTACAGGGTTTTCATTTCTTACTCTAAACTCGCACTATTATTCCAAGAATAACTGTGAAATTGGAATTTGAGCCATAAACCTGGTGAGTAAGCAGTGAAGGTCACTTCCAGCTGAAATATGGCTTTGCTTGCTGATTCACTGTTTCTCTCTGAGTCCCTTTCCCTCCTGGCAAAGCCAGAGCCAGGCAGATCACTAAAGCAGCCTCGCTCCTGCCTCCTTCAGTTTCAACTTGCATTTGTTGAATTGTGAGTGATGTTGTGCATCTTTCTCTTTGTTTATAAGCCAGGCATACTTCCTCTTTTGTAAGCCCTCTTTATATTTGAAGAAAGGTAGCTCTTAATGTGGCTCTTCCTCCCTCCCCACCCCCAAGTTTCCAAGTTTCAGTTTTAGTCATGACATTTTCCCTGCCAAAATTGTAAATGCTTATGTAGTCAAGTAATCGGTCTTCTCCTTTACATCTCATCGTTTACATTTCATATGTGTTCTCCTCTCAGGAGGCTTGTTAATTCCCTAATGGCATCTTCTGCCCCCACCTCCTACACCAGGAGTTGTTCGGGTCTGACTTATTTGGGAGTCTTAGGAACGACACAGGCTCCTCATGTGACAGGTTTTACCTTCTCAGGGTGGCTTTGCAATTTCCTGGATAAGACACATTTAATAACCTTAAATAGCACTTGTATTTATAGTTTTATCATATTTGATGTAACTATCTAGGTAGATAAATGTGCGTGTCTCCCACCAGTCTGGCCTCTACAGAAGGCAGGGACTTTGCCTTATTCACTGTTGTAACCCTGGAGCCCAACACATGACTTGCAAACAATAGATGTTCAATCAATGTTCTCTTGATGCCATCATGAGGGCCACTCCTCTAATGTGGTGCCCCTTACCCTTTAAGTGCCCATGTTAAATTCCCTTAGATTATTCAGCATCTGAAATGTTATCAGTTCATTGGTCACATGGTATTAAGATGGTCATGTGACCCTACTCTAAAAATACTTTCATTAGCAAAAGAAGCTAAGGACTGAATCCTTTGGAGTCAGTCACTCAAGTTCTAGGCCTAGGCCTGCTGGTCTATGTTTGAGGCTGAACCAGATTAAGAGACTTTTCATCCAACACTTTGGCTATCGCTTACATTAACCTTTGTCATTTGTTCCTTCTCAGAGTCACACAATCACCAAAAGCCCCATCTTTAGTGGCTTCCATTTTGATGTTACTGTTCATGAAGGGACAAAGCTCAACCTCTATTAAGAAATGGATGCTGTAAATAGAATTTTATACATTTTTCATGTGGCCATTAAAGAGAATAATAGAATAATGAGATCCTTTTCTAAGTCTACACATGTGGCAACCACCACTCTCAACCACTCAGTTTTTCCTCCCTCACTTAGCACTGCTGAGAAAAGAGAAGACACACGCTTGCTGAACTACTCCAAACCTAGGAAACCAAATGCAGTGATTTCGTTTGCGGAAAGTAACCTTACTTTGTGTTTCTCAGTTCCACCTTAGCAAAATAAGGCTGCTACTCAGGAGCTGGGCAAGCATATGAAGGGAGAGAATGAGAAGAATGAAGTGGGATGTGCCTGTCACATCCAGCACAAGTCTGCTGTTGGACTTGCTATGAAAGTGACTCATTTCATAAACAATACAGCTGCTGTAGGAGGCAGCCCTGTCAGATTTGATGGATGGCTGTGTATCTCTGGATCTTCTGCAGTTGTTGAGGCAGACAGGCTTTGGGGCCAAGCAACCATATCAAATACAACTTGCGTCAATAAGAAATATGAGAATGTTTCTTACAAATGGTAAAAATAAGGCAAAGTTCTCTAAATTCTGGGACTCCAGATCCTACATGTGGCCCCAGCCTGCCTTTTAACCACAGTTTCACAGCTGACCTTTCTGAGTGCCCCTGCTTTGCAAGGGCAGCTCTTGGAGTCACTTGACCTTCATAGACCAAGGTCAATCTCAGTTGGTCCCAAACAGGAAAGCTTGAATGGGGAAATGGATAAAGTATAGCTGGTATGAGGAAAGAATGAATTTCTGGCAAATGTGAGCTTGAGATAACAAATCAATGGGTCGGATAATGACTTTTCTCCTTTCTTAGTGTAGATCTAGCCCCTTTCCTCATTTCCAGCAGAACCACCACCAACAGGACTGCCAAGAATAATCACCTATGGGCTGTTTTCTGATAAGAGGGTATGGACATTAGTGGAGCTAATCTCCATCTCCGTCCTTCACTCAGGCTGAAGGGACAATGGGTTTTGGTCTGGTCTGACCTCTCAAGTCCTAGGAAGCCTGAGTCCTGGCCAGGAAAAACACGAATTTTGATGGAGGGAATGTGATTGGAAGAACTCTGGAAGAGCCTTCCCCATCAAATATCACCTTCATGGTCTCTGAAAGCTCCTGATAAGATATTTCTTTGTGTTAATACACTGAAGGCATCTGTGGATCATAAATGTAATCATAAAAGATGGAAGCAGTAAGCCATTTCTCACAGGACATTTCCAAAGGAACTTGATTCTGGTTGGATTTCTCTGAGGAGAGCTCCCACCTCCAACCACCATCAACAGCACTTCATCATCTCTCCCTTCTGCCTTCAACTCCTTTGTCCTATCCTCTTTTTTTCATCTCATTTTCTCTTCTCTGACAGGCCTCGGTCTTAAAAGTGTGGCTAGGTTAGGCCCTCACGACTCAATGTCTGGCCCAGCAGCACTGGTATGACCTGGAGCTTTAAAAAAAATGTAGGCTCTTAGGCTGCATGGGAGACCTGCTGAGTCAGAACACGCATTTTAATAGGTGACTTATATACAAGTGAAAATTTTAGAAGTCCAGATGTAGGCCCCTCTTCTCAGACTCCATTTGAGAATATTCATCCATCATTCCCTCCACCTTGAAACCACTGTTCCTGGGAATTCTGGTCTCAGCGGCCTGACCTGGCAGTGCTGTCAGCCTCAGGTCACCGGATGGTTTCTCTCAGGGATTCACAGTCACTCACCCCCCAGCTTGTGGAAGGTTGCCTTTCTCTTGCTCTTGGAGATACTTTTAGAAAAACATTTCAAAGTTCCATTGAAACCACATTCTGGTCTCAGCGGCCTGACCTGGCAGTGCTGCCAGCCTCAGGTCACTGGATGGTTTCTCTCAGGGATTCAGTCACTCACCCCACAGCTTGTGGAAGGTTGCCTTTCTCTTGCTCTTGGAGGTACTTTTAGAAAAACATTTCAAAGTTCCATTGAAACCACACATCTATCTTGTCTAGTCAACCTCTACTCCAGCAATAATTAGGGGAGAAGGTTTTGTTTATATACCTGGGCACAAGGAAGAGGAGTGCTGACAGCCCCTCTGACTTATTAGTGGGTGGGGGCTAGTAACTCCCCTCAGCCCAGGCTCCCCCCAGACTAAGGATTTTTACCAGCTAAGGAAACTTCGCTTTTGAAAACCAATATGGAATATTCTTTACAAAATCCCTTTAGCAAGTCAATGTACTAGAAAAAAGGGTCATCTCAAGGGCTTGCTCTACATTCTAAAAAATGTTTTATTCTGAGGAAATTGTAGATTCCTATGCAGTTGTAAGAAATAGTACAGAGTTTCCCCCAATGGTAACATCTTGCAAAACTATAGTTCAATATCACAGCCAGTGTACTGACATTGATGCAATACATCAACTGTCTTCAGATTTCACCAGTTTTCATGCACTATTTTTATATGTCTGTGTCTTTTGTTCTATGCAACTTTTTTGTATGTGTGCATCCTGTGACCACTGCTGCAGCCCAGTTACAGAATAGTTTCATCCCAAGGATCCCTTGTAACACCCTTTTATAGCCATAGCCATTTCCTTGTCCCTCTGCCCCACCCCCACAACCACTTGGCAACCACTGATTTGTTCTGCATCTCTATAATTTTTAATTAAAAAATGTTATATACTGTATATGGAAACACACAGTGGGTAACTTTTCACTATTGGCATTTTCCAGTCAGCATAATTCTCTGGAGATTTATCCCAGCTGTTGTGTCAAATCTGTGGTGCATTCCTTGATATTGCTAAGTAGTATTCCATCATATGGCTAGACCAGTGATGGTGAACCTATGACACGTGTGTCAGAGGTGACACGTGAACTCATTTTTTTGGTTGATTTTTCTTTGTTAAATGG